AAGTGTTTGGCAATGTGTATAATTTTGTTTTCTAAAAGAAAAATAACCACCTCACCCAGGTTCTACTATGATGCTAAAAAAATTTATAACCAATCAACCAACATCATAAAAGTGGCAACCAATCAGGTGTGTTTTTTATCAAAATTTACTTGGGGGTTTGATTGGACCAATTGGTCAAATCCCTTTGAGTATCATATCTTTCCAAAACCATAGGTTTTTCCACCTGACCCCTTTGAATTCATGAACATAGCTACACTTTGGTCCACTTCTTAAATGGCATGCTTGGTTTCATCTTTGCCATAAAACACAATATTCAATGGCTATAGGCAAGGATTAAAATATCGATATGTATTGGTGCATATCGATATGGTCGATACTTTTTTTATGTTTTTTATTTTATAATAATAAGAGGGTCCCATAAGAGGTATGAGACCCTTTGGTGTTTTCAAAATATTTGTGTATCGGTGCATTCAAGTATATCTGAATACACCAATACCAATACGATACATTCTATATACAAATGTATCGGGCATATCATATCGATACTTTTAATCTTTGGTTATAGAAATGTCAATAAGACAATGATATAAAACCTGATTCTAAGGCTCAAGTGCTAAACCACTTCCCAATTCCCCTCATATCAACGGGTTAGTTCAATTGTATGGGGTTAAATGGTCAATGGATTAAGTCATAATAATGTTATAGTAAAAAAAGTTAGACTCAGTTTAGAAGGAGTACAAATACAAATATGTACAGCACAAATACATGCAAAATAATACAAAATACAAGTTTTGCGCTTTATATATTTGTATTTGTACTCCTTCCAAACTGAACATTAAGAACAAAATAATAAAAAAACTGATAACCCGTTAAATAGGTTAGATGGATCTATGGTTCAACCATTTGGGGTAACGATTTATTGACTAAATAAACATTTTTTTTTGAGTCACCAATCCGACAGGTTGTGTTGAAAACAATATAAGAAAGTATCTGATGATAACCCAAGTGCTAGCATCGGCTAGGTCCAAATTAGTAGGATCTAGGTCCGGAATTAAATTTAGACCGGAGCATAGCTTTATGACCAGCTAGGAGTTGGGTCCGATCCCGCACCCTGGATCCGGTTAGTGATTATCTTATCAATATTCAAGTTTATATGCAAACTCATTCTAATTTTTAAGTATTCATGAAATTTGAAATTTGAAAGAGAAAAGGGAATAACGCAATAAAATATAGGTTTTACTTTTTAGTTTTATTCAATAGCGTTTCCCTATGAGTTCGATCATTTGATGGGTCTGGATCTTGATAAAAAACGGTAAAAAGCCCAATATCATACCCGGGCCCAAGTCCGACAAGACCCTATTCAAGCAATACTATAGGTCCAGGTCTGGGTACATATGGACCTGGATCGAACCCTACCCTCTGAAAGTACCAAGTATCCAAGAAAAATGTTATTGCTTTTACCCAATCGCTAACCATCAAGATATCAACTAAGTTTTAAATCTCTGATTTTTTTTTGGGTATTTTGTCAAGTCATATCATTTTTTTTGGAAAAGTACAAACAGATTCAATGCAGATTTCTGAATTCTACTGCAGACCTATAAACATTTAAAATGTCAAAAAACCTCATTCTATACATTAATGTCCACTTGTAAATTGGCATCAATTGGGAGTTGTCACCTATCCCAATTGTACTTTAGGCATAAAAATTCTGACCCTGGACTGAACTATCATTCTTCCTTTTCTTTTGCTGCACCATCTCAGGTTGATCCAAGAGGTGTCAATGCCAAAAATTTAAGAGATGTATCACTAGCAAGGATAGAGACACATCACTGTAAGACATCTACCTAAGACATCAGCAATGCCAAAAATCAACGGGACCCTTTATAATTACCATTTTAACAGTTAGTCAAACTAATCTAAATTAAAGGGTCAACATCATTGTTGTCCATTTTGGTCATTTTCTTTCTTTCTTTTCTTTTTGAAATATTGGATTTTTAAATGAAAAGTTGAGCTTGACTTGAATAAATAGGTAAATGGCTCATCTCTTTTATCATTTCTGTATTTTAAAAACAAAAAAAACATTTTCCCACGGAAAGGAAAATAAAACATAGAAAGAAATGTCCTTTTTCCTGAGTTCGGATCACTTACCAACAAAATACAACCCTCTACCAATATGATCTCACACCACACATTTCATATATGGCGGGTCCCAGCTTCATAATGAGATGTGCGGTGTTAGATCAAGTTGGTAGAGGGTTGGAACGAGTTTTGTTGACAGAAAATCTCAACTCCTTTTTCCTTCCTATCTACCTCCTTGATGCCATCCCTTTAGGGCTAGCAATTTTCTGACCAAATCTGTGTGATCCAGCCCCTGATATCCGGTAATAAAAAAACCCATGTGACCCAACCAACCCATCGATGACCTAGTAGTTGAGATGGTCACTTGGCATCCTTTTGAATATGGAGGCACAGGATTGAATCCGTGTAGGTACACTTTGCTCTCGGTTCTGTGGTTAGGCTCACATACACTCTGCTGTTCCTATTCCCACCCCTTGATCCCCTTGTTATCAGTAATATGTGTACCAAAAAAGTCCCAAGGGCATTCTACAACATGAATTGTTTTTTTTTTTTTTTTGTTGTCAGTTCCAAAAATAAATCAAAATCATTTTGTTTGAAAATAGATTGTTTTTTAAAACAAAAGCACAAGAAACACATTCTTGGTTGTATATGCATTTTTTTATTTTCAGAACTAAAACCAAAAACATGTTCTGGAATCTGATTTCAAGAACACGTTTTCATTTGATTATTCAATATTTATTCCATAGACATATAATTTTTTTACTAGAAAATTTGTTTTTGTTTTAAAAATCAATATTTTGTAGGTTTTAAAAACATTGTATTGTTTTTTAAAACAAAACCAACTTATTTTTTTCTTTGAAAACAAAAAACAGAGTTCAAGAACATATTTTTGTTTTTTTGCCAATGTAACGATTCCAAAAACAACTGAAATGAAACAAAAACACTCATGTCCTAGAACGGTCCCTTAAATTGACAGGTTAGAACTGCTTGTTCTTTCTTTCTTTTTCAAAAATTCAGGTTTGATGATCGGTTAATAACTGAATTTGATCCCTTATAGTTAGATCGAATATAGAAGCATCCCAATCCGGTCTATCATGGTCTGATACATGCATTTGTCAGTAAAATCGGTTTGATAGGTTCGAGTCACAGTTAAGTTATTTTCAACATCGAAATCGTTTTTAATTCAGCCCATCTCAATCTGACAGACAATATTTAATTCGAACCCGAATGTTAAACAGATTAAATCCATATCCAATTCAATCCAATCATTTTGCAGACTTACCATCGGAAATAATAGTTGCAGCCCTATTTCAATTCAAGAGTTCATGATTGCTAGCATAGTCATGCAAAGGGGGAAGGGGGAAGGGGGAGGGTGTGGGTGCAAGGGCACATCCTTAATATGGGTACAAATCGGGTGCTCAATTTCAAAAGTTCACAGGCTTGGGCCCATTCAAATTGAAACAAAAATCCAAAGCCAAGTCCATCCAAGTTGTACCTCTAATCAGTATTTGCACTCTTTTCAAATGAAGCATAAAAATTCAAATCATTTTTAATGTATCCGATTCCATAAAACCTTTGAAGTTAAGCGTGCTTATGTGAGAATAGTAATAGGATGGGTGATCTCCTAAGAAGTCCTTATATTGCATTCCAATTTTTATTTAACTGATTAGTGGGGAAGAGTTACCCCGTCTGGCATGTATATCTCCCTTGTTTTCCCATAAAAAAAGAAGCATAAAATAATAAAATATTCAAAAAACATTTTGTATTTACATGGAACATATTTATATTTGCACTTTTCTCAAATAGAGCCTAAGGGCCTGTTTGGATAGACTTTTATAAAGTACTTTCGTATTTTGAAAGTATAAAAGTACAAAAAACACGACATAGCGTTTGTATTATATACTTATATTTTTTGCTTTCATACTTTTAAAAGTATGGAAAATCTCAAAAGCACGAAGTTAATTTTTTATACTTCGTGCTTTTGACAAAATTGTGCTTTTGTTTTCGTGCGAAGTGATTATCCTTAGATAAAACTCTCGACTCTACCTCTGCTCGCCATTGCTAGATTTGGATTGTCGTCATCGGTCTTAGACCCCAAAAGCATCGGAAACCATCATTGGAAGTAAAAATGAACGTACTTCTGCCAAAAAGAAAATGATACTTCTGTTTTAAAAAACATACTTTTCAAAATTTTTTATCCAAACGATTTTCAAAACAAAAATACCAAAATAAAAATATTTTATATATTTTATACTTTAATATTTTTGAAAGTACAAAAATAAAAATCTATCCAAACAAGGATATAAGGCTAGTCATTTTCTTGGGGGTGTGCCATGTTTATCAGATTTTAGATGTGATTGACAGGTTGGGTCAAAACATATTCATCTTACTTGGTGTACACCCTATATCTATCGGGTGAGACAATTTATTCCAGAGTGTTAAATATAATCCCTTTACATATGATTGGGATACTTGCTTTGGCTTAACGTACAGGCATTTTCCTTCCCCCACTCTATTCATTTCTTATTCACTAAACTTGTGTTTGGTTTGAAGGAAAAGATAGAGAAACCTATACAAATCTTACCTTCCCAATATATGGACTGTCAATAATCTAGGTCACTCAGAATGTTTCCGATCTGATTAAGACCCAAAGTGATTATGTAAATACATTTTAGTTATAGGAGGTCTAAAACTAGCAGTTTGGTTGTCAAAAACACCTAGCTAAAGGCTTCTCAATGGTTGTGTATCCTGACCCGGACGGTCCAGACCCAAGCCATCAACAGTCTTATAATTGATCAACTCTATCAACGTAATACTGTTAAAAAGAAAAAACAGTGAGACTCATCAATAATCAAAAGGACCCAGCTAACCGGCCCAACCCCTTCTTTAGTTATTAGTTAGTAGAGATTTTAGAGTTTGGGATGAGATATAGATTAGATATTCTTTACATGCTTTCTCTTTTCAACCCTCTTTTCTCTCTCTTTTTCTTCACCACATAATTAATAAATCTCTGCTCCTCTCTCACCTTCTTCTTCCCAATCTTCCTACCTGCAGACATCCCATCTCTCTCTCTCTCTCTCCATAATGGGTTGATTCCCAATCTGAACATGGCCGCTGCTTGCTGATCAGAGAGAGAAAAGAGAAGAAAAAGAAGAACCATCTCTGAGAAATCGATGAAGCACATACATCTATCACTTCTCTCCAAGAACACAGGTGTTACTACTCCAAGTACCACCACTTAGTACTACCAACTAATTGTGCAAATAGACATATTTCTTTCGTTTTTTCAAGATGAATCAGTGCGTACCAAGCTGGGACCTCGACGAAACTCCCACCTCCGCCGGTGGGGTTAGCCTCCGTTCACTCTCCAACGCCGTTTCCGCTGCCACCGACGTCCCAATGTAATCTCTAATCTGATCCGTCTTTCTTTGATATGTATTGCAGCTTGCAAACCTGAGTAAATGCTTTAAACGAGATTAAGCCATAGCTTTTCATCATCCTCCAGGCTAGCCTCATCGTTATACTGATTATTGCTGTTATTGTTTCATTAAAAGGTTGGACTGTGGACGTGGTGGAACTGACGGTGGTCGTCGGCGCAGGTTGGACTACGAAGTGACAGAGCTGACATGGGAGAACGGTCAGTTGGCGTTGCACGGGTTAGGTCCCCCTCGGCCCATCACCAAACCCCTCCCCTCCTCCGCCACCACCACCACCACCACCAAGTACACGTGGGAGAAGCCACGCGCTGGCGGTACTCTCGAATCCATCGTCAGCCAAGCCACACGCTCGGCGTCGGCCCCGTGCAAGGCTCTCTTCAACGGAGATGATGACCTCGTGCCCTGGTTTGATCCGCGCGGCACCGCCGCCGCCCAGTCCATGACCATGGACGCCTTGGTCCCTTGCACCAACCGGACGACCTCCGCCGACGACCATTGCACCCGCGTGCCGGAACCCAATCCGGGCGTTGGCACGTGTGCCATCGCCTGCTCCACACGTTTGGAGTCCTCCAGCGAGACTGGCACACTCGATCGCCGGCTGGAGCAGGAGGCGCTCGCCAAGAAACGCCCGAGGCTGGAGCATGTTCCCGTCGAGGGAAGCAGCAAGCAAAGCGTGAGCATCAGCGCTTCCTTCGGAAAGGACAATAGCAGGCAAGACATGACGCTCGACACCTACGAGCTGGACACCGAAGTGGGTTTCACTTCCACCTCTTTGGGATCGCCGGAAAACACAAGCACCGGCCACCCTCGGGCGTCCTACACCAAATCCACCACAATGGTCGACGACCATGACTCCGTTTCTCATAGCAGACCTGAGGTAAAAACTAAAAGCCCCATCTTCTTCTTCTTTCTGAGTGCAAGCTCCCGTTGCATCTGCATGTATATACATTTTTTTTTTCTTTTAAATTATCGGCAAGGAAGTGATTTTAAACAGGTTCCTTTCTTTTTTTCTTCTTCTTTTCTAATGTTAAAAGAAGGAATCAGGTTTTGAAGAAGACAAGAAGGGCCAGACAGGAAAATCTTCCATCTCAACTAAGAGAAGCAGGGCTGCTGCAATTCATAACCAATCTGAACGTGTAAAGTTCTCTTTTTGTCTAGTTTTTTTTTCTGATTTCTTTTAGTGGCTAATAATTCTATTAATAGCTGATCAGAGTTTATGACTAAAACAAAGAAAATTCATGGTGGTGTTGTTGCAGAAAAGGAGAGATAAGATCAACCAAAGAATGAAGACTTTGCAGAAACTGGTCCCAAATTCCAGTAAGGTATGATAGGCATTTCTCTTTTTTTTTTTTGTATTAATCTTTGGTAAATATTCTCAGATGCATGCATTTTAGTGAAAGGAACATGTCAGAAATTAGTGCTGAGAATCATTTACGAGTTATGTGCAACTCTGGAATCGGAAAGGAGAAGACCCAAAATGAAACTAGTCCACACAACCATTTGAAATGGGGACAATTCGCCTGGAGCCACACAAATCGGTCCCATGGTAGGTCCACTTAGAGACAGTATTTGTCGGAAAGTGTAGGAGTGTACAGTTCCGGAATCAGAGATCAGTCGTTGTAAAGTTGTGTACTTGTGTAGACTCTTTGGTGGTGTGTTTGGATGCTACGGTCTTCTAAGATTTCTTTCCCCTGAATGGTATGAAATACTACAGGGCAGAGCCGGTAACTAGACAGTACAGATGAACAGTGTTCCGAGGATGAGGGTTGCTTTTGGGCTTTAGATGATGCAGATGTAGCAAGTACCAAATCCGTGTTAATGGGGGTTGAGGAATTGGGAATCCATGCCTAAGGGTTCTCAACTTCTAGTTGCTGTTTGGCTACAAAGAGTCAAAATAATAGTATGATCAGGATCTGCTATGCAATTGATGAACTTACTAGATTTGATTATCTTACTTGTATGCTTTGAATTGTGATCAAAGTTGGATAATTGTCTAATTGCAGAAGTAGAATTTATCCCCTGTTTGGACTATGGATTTCTAATTCTGCAATCAAGTTTGAGGTGGGTAGGGATGGATATGGAAGCAGCCAACCCCAAACCCATGAAGCTTTGATTTTTGTAGGATGCTTTTGATGATATGCATTTTGACCTCCTTGGTTTGTTACAGACTGATAAAGCCTCCATGCTTGATGAAGTGATTGAATATCTTAAGCAACTACAAGCCCAAGTCCAGATGATGAGCAGGATGAGCATGCCACACATGATGCTGCCAATGACCATGCAACAGCAACTTCAGATGTCCATGTTAGCTCAAATGGGCATGTTCATGGGGATGAACATGGGAATGGGGACGATGGACATGAATTCAGTCACGCGCAACAACATCGCCGGAGTTCCCCCTGTTCTCCACCCTAATGTCTTGATGACCCTACCTTCATGGGATGGCACCGGCGATCGCTTGCCCTCTTCTAGCACAACCATGCCTGATCCATTGTCCACATTTCTTGCTTGCCAGTCACAGGTAGGGACATAGACTGATCATGTTCAGTCATTAAAACCAAACCATGATTTTGAATTGCAAGTTTGATAAACCATGATTTTGATTTGTATTGTCTCTTGATTTCCTTGCAGCCAAATAACATGGATACTTACAACAGGATGGTTGCCTTGTATCAACAGCTCTATCAATCCACAACTTCCAATTCCAAGGGCTAGAGGCTAGACCCTTGGGATCAAGTAATAACTATACATTGACCTACATGGGTTTATCATCTGTTATTTGATTCTTATAAGAAGATCCTTCTTCGAGAAATTGTATTTATTTTTTTCTTGCTATATATGCTAAAAACGCTGTATTTCTTCCTGTTCCTGACTTAATTCTGCAGTGTGAAAGCATTATATAATTGTAATTGTACTTTTGATGTATGATATATACTATTAAGCACTAGCACTTCTAACACTCATCAGATGAACACAAGAACTGAAGCTTGATTGTCATCCTTAATTTATGGAATACTATTTCTTTTGCATTGTTGCTTGATTGGTCTTTGGATGATAAGTAAGGTCGTGTTTGGATAGTCTTCAGGATTTGTGCTTTTGAAGCCCCAAATTACAAAACCCCAATTTTAGGCTTTGTCCTTTGGGGCTTAAAGGTGTTTTGGCTTCATATTATAATGTTTTTAAAAGCAACTCGAACGCTAAGAACACTTTTTCGCAACCCAAGCTTGAAACAAAAAGCTTATCCAAACGATGCCTTAATTTCTAATTATAGCTTCATGTGTCACATATCTCTCTTGCTTGCTCAAAGGAACGAAATGAGCTAGAGATAAATGTCTGAAAAATCTGCCCGCTCCATTAACTGCAGAATCCTGATGAAACAGAGTATGTTGTGCATTCAAAATTATTCAATCCTCCGATAGCCTTCAGAAATGTGCTTCAGTAATACCAGGACCATTTATCGAATAGCTTAGAGAGCTTCTGAGCTCTAAAATGAGGGAATAAACGTCCAATTCAACATCGATAAAAATCACAAAGTAAGTTTCAGAGAGGAGTAAAAGACAGAATGTATAAAACTCCTCATTTCAATGACTGGATCAGAAAAAAATGAACTTTTCTGGAGAGGGAACTTCAAATGTTTTTATTTTGGAAATATGATCAACAGGTTAAACTTAGAAGCTATGCATTGTGGAGACTATAGAACGATCTTAAGGATAACAGTGCAATTTTATTTGTACTAGTACAAATGTATGGGAGTGCAAATGAAAAGAATGCAAATTCTGGTTTAATTTTGTTTTGGGTTTTACTTTCTTCTGCCTCAGGTATTATTTTAGTTTATTTATACTGCAATCAAACAAAATAAGTTAAAATTTGAAACACAAAAAAAAAAATAAAAATTCAGAATTTGCACACGCCATTTTTTTGATGAACGTTGCACACAAGTCATTTGCACTATCATGATTTTGCATCAGTGCAAATAAATTTGCACTGCAACCAAATGCAGCCTAAGGCTTGGTTTAAAAGGAGTACAAATACAAATATGTAAAATGCAATACCTTGTATTTTGTATGCATTTACGATGTAGTCCTAGATTCCGGCACTTTGCCCTTCATTAGTTAGTAGGGTTAATGGTGAAAGTGGAATTGCCAAATTGCTTATTTGAGATTCTATGGGCTGACAAAAACAATAATAAAAATTACAAAAAACAACCATTCTAAAGCATGGTAACCATTGTTTGTTGAGAGAAACTCAAGAGAAATATATGAGAATTAGGATTTTGAAAAAAAACTAAGTTAAAAGGCAAAAATTAGGGTTTTGAAAAAAAAATACTAAGTTAAAAGGCAAAATGGTCTTAAATGTAGTTTGGGGTTTTAAAAATGTATAAACCCCGACTCATATTGGAAAATCCATTGAGTGAACTAAAGTGTTGGAGTCTAGGAATACATGAGTTCACATCTGCACCCCACCTCTCAGAGTGCATTGGGAAATCTCTCGTACTTGTTATTGTGAGATGTTAACAATACATGGTTGCCATGTACTGTGAGGTGCCCATGGGATGCACTCTATGGGGGCGCTAATGTGATCTCGGAAGACATGTGGGTCTTAGTTAACAAAACAAAGTTCGGGGGGCTAAGTATCTTGTCCCCTTAGTATAGGGTGATGTTTGTAACTTTCCCCTTCTTATACAAAAAAGTTAAGCTACAAACATGAACTCGGGTTCAGTCCTCACACCATTCTCACAGCCACTTGTAGTTGTAAATTGGGAATATCTCCCATGAATAAAAACATATGAATACGGGGATATTTCCAATACATGGTTGCAAGCGGCTGTGATGACAGTGTAAGCATGGTCTTGTAAGGACTAAATCTGATCTCTATAGACCTGGTAGTCAACTGATGGAATAGTAATGAAAATGTCAGAATCTAGGAGTACGAGGGGGGTCTTTGTCACAAAACAAAGCTTGGGGAGCTAAGTATTTTGACTTCCTAATTACAGGGTGGGTGCCTATAATTTACCCTTTAGAAACCATTAACTTGGTAAAAAACATGGTGATCTAGCTAATTGATTGATTGAACTATTTGGAGTCATGTGTTTAGACATTAATTCTCCTTTTTCCTAATTTTTGTATTCTAATTTTCATCATTAATAAAAATAAATTTTATTTAATGATGAATATATAATATTAGAGATATGCCCACATATATATATATTTTTTAAATGTTTATATTTTTACAAATTATTGTATTTCTATCCATTTTTTATTTTTTATTATTTAAACATGACATTATGATTTAACCAATTTGACCTAGATGATTGAACCATTAACCTATCACCTAGATGGAAAAACCGTTTTTCTTTTGAATTGATTTTAAATTTTGTTTTTCAGTTCTATCATTAGTAAAAATATTTCTTAATTTTTACAGTTATTTTTGTTTGATATGATAAATATATACTAGTAGAGATGTGCCAAAATGTTTCTATAAGATTTCTATACTTTTTTATATTTTGTGTTTCTATATTTTTTAATTATTTATTATTGAATTATGACATCATAGGTTAACCCATTAGATATAGAAAATTAAATTGTTGACCAATCACATAGATAAGAAAGAACTTCCTTTTTCAATCATTTTAAATTTTGTATTTCATTTACAAGCTTACATTTGTTCTTGTTATACAATTAATATATAATGTTAGACATGTGTTTAAATTTTTCTATATTTTGTAATTATGTATATTTTCTGTTTTTAAAATTTTTATTGTTTAACTAAAACATAATGGGTTGATCTATTTGATTTTAATGGTTGAACTACTAAGCCACTCACACAAGAAAAATGGTTTCATTTCCAAACGAATTTTAATTTTGTATTCCATTTATATCACTAATAAAAGTAGTTATTTATCATACTTGATTTTGTTTAATATGAAAAATATATAGTATTAGAGATGCACCCAAAATTTTCTATACATTTTCTTGATTTTTATCTACTTTTAATTTTTTAATATTTAATTATAACATCATGGGTTTACCTATTTGACCCCAAATGGATGAATTGCATACCTATCACCTAAAAATTAGTTCCGTTTTTATGTCAATTTTAAAAATATAGGTTTTATACTATTAAAATTATTGTTCATGGATTTAACTTCTTTATTTTTTTGTGTTTCATCTATTTTTAATTTTTTAATATTTAACTATGGCATCGTTGGTTTACTTGTTTGAGCCAAATAGTTGAATTGATTGCCCACCACCTAAAAAATAAGTTTTGTTTCTATGTCAATTTTAAAAGTGTAGGTTTTATACTGTTAAAGTTATTGTTCATGGATTTAATTTCTTTTTTTTTTTTATTTATAATTTTTAATATTTAATTATGACATCATGAGTTTAACTATTTGACCCAAATGGTTGAATTGCTTACCAACCACCTAAAAGACCAATTTTATTTCTATGTTAATTTTTAAAAATATAACTTTTTATACTATTAATACTCATGGATTTAATTTGTGGAATTTAATAATTTGAAATGATAATACCTTAAATGTAGTATGTAATGAGAGAGAATGATAGTTAATACTTTAAATATGAGACTTAATAGGATGAAATAGAATGAATTGAAAAGTGGCATTCAAATTATACTTTTGTCCTTACAGTAGAGGACCAAACTCAAAAATAGGGATATTTTTGTCAAGAAAAAAGTCCAAAAACCTTAAAGAACTATTCTTGCTTTTTATAGTAGTATAGATAGTTTAATTGAAAATAACAAAATTTAGGTAAGTGAAGCCATCCTATGGGTTATAAAAAGGCCCCATGATGAAGTCCTAAGAGAGATCACATCTCCGTCCCACAATGCCCCACAACCCATCCCCGCTATGTATTGAGAACATCTCCCGATGATAATACCAGTCTTGATGATAATACCACATCTCCCGCTGTGTATTGAAAACATCATCATCGGGAAATGTTCCCAATACACGGCGGGAATGCACTGTGGGGCGGCTTCTTATGGGGCAGAGATGTGAACTCGTCCTAAGGGCAATTGCTTGCCATGAGAGATAGGTGAAAAAACAAATAATTCAACTGGCTTGCTCCGACTATTAGGTGTGCAAAAATTTCAACTCAGGCAATCCTGCTTGCACCTCTAATAAAAACTTAAACTACATCTGATTTGGGTTCGGGCCCCATTCAAAATTTGATGAATGCTGGACCAACCAGACCCAAGTTGCAACCATGTGGGGTCGGCTAAATGAATCTTGTTCTACGGGTTATCATGGATCATATCTAGGTTGGGCTTTGGACCTATCTATCATTATATAATATTTTAGATTTATGCATAAAATATGTATAAAGTACATGTTATTATATTTTATATGAACTAGTGTAAGACAACTGCTATGCAAGTGTCCCTCTAAAGAAAAAAGGGTAAAAAGTAAAAACTATAAAGATGAAAAGATATTTGTCGGCGTTTGTTTGTGGTATAAAACTCTATTTTCAGTTTATATTTTTTGGCGTTTGGATTGAGTGTAGTTTTACATTATAAATCAATGTAAAACTTATATCAGAAGGGAAAAGACCAACCTCTCCATGAGAATCCCAACGGGTAGATTAATTTATGGGTAGTCGAGAGGGTCTCTTGGCACCCCCTCCAATTTGTGAGTTGAGATCTTCTGTCAACAAAACATGTTCCAACCCTCTACCAATTTGATCTAACACCACACATCTCATTATGAGACCAGCACCCATCATAAAAGTGGGACTCACCATGTATGAAATGTGCGGAATTTGTAGGTACGGGATCAAACTCACAGAACCATAGGCTCTCTCCGTGGTATGGCTAGCGGGCCTCGTGTGCACCTTGCTCTCCTCTATCCCTGATTCCCTGTAATGTGTAGTATGTATGTAATACTAATGCCGAGAAAAAAAAAAAAGATTTATGTATCAATCACAATATCAGAATCCCCTTGCCAAGCCCCCACCTTCGCACTTAAAAGAAAGAAACAGAGGAGGAAAGATTCCAAAGAAAGCTACACTGCAT